ATCATCCCAAAGGCCCCATTTTCGCACAGCTGATCATCGTAAAATGAAGCGATGACTATGCGAGGCACCACTGTACTCCAAAGCAAGCAAAAGCAAATTGATGCTCAGGAGAAAAGGTTTCAAACACATATCAGCAAAAAAGAATTGTGACTATGCATCTGCAAGTCAAAAATGGCTCCACAATATTATCTGAGAGTAACACATTTCCACAATGGAAAAGACTTTTTAAAAGAGGAATAATTGAATGCCACTTTGTCCTTCCCTTGCTGTTTCATCCTCTTCATTCTGCATAAAGCTAATGAGAAACAAGAGCAGACCTTTGGTCTAGATGGGCGGGATAAAATCCAATAAATAAATAAACAAACAACTAGTTTTCTATTTATGAGAACTGGCACTTAAAATGGCAATCTGTAGAATCCTCTATTCCTCTACTCAAATTACTTGTTCCACTGAGTTCTGTGAGAGATTATCTGAAAAATCATCATGTGGTAGATGATGTCTGCCACCCAATATATGAGATATAATCAGAACATTAACTGTTAAATTCTCATGTCCACATCTAGATGAACAAATAGAAGACAAAAGGTTTGATTTTTTAGGCACCAAGCTTGATTTGGTGTTTTTTAAAACTCCAGTTCCCTACCCAATGCATAGTAATCTGTGAAGAAAACGTGCAAACAGTCCACTCATAAACATAATTACAACCAGGTATTCATATATATATTTTTTACATATAATACTAACACACACCACTCTAGAAGGGTTGTGTACAAAGCAGTGTGCACAATGAGGGGTGCTAGGCAAGGAGCATTTCCAGCAGTCACATTATACTACTTTTGGTCCTCCTCGACATCTCAGCGGCCTTTGATACCATTGACCACGGTATCCTCCTGGGGAGGCTCTCCGAGTTGGGAATAGGTGGCCTCGCATTGTCCTGGCTCCGTTCCTTCTTGGAGGACCGTCCCCAGAGAGTCCAGCTTGGGGAGAGAGTCTCGGCCCCGTGGAGCCTCAATTGTGGGGTTCCACAGGGGTCGATTATCTCCCCAATGCTATTTAACATCTATATGAGGCCGCTGGGTGGGGACATCAGGGGGTGTGGTGCTTCGTGTCACCAGTATGCGGACGACACGCAGCTCTACATCTCCTTTTTGCCAACCGCAGGAGAAGCCGTCCTGTGCCTCCAGCGCTGCCTGGGGACTATACTGGAATGGATGCAGGAGAACGGGCTTAGGCTGAACCCGGACAAGACGGAAGTATTGAGGGTGGGCCCTCCCACAGTCGGGGTTCTGGGAAACTCCCTCTCTTTTGGGGGGGTGACTCTCCCTGC